AACTTAAAAGTGGTAAATTTGACCACATTGCTGTTACCATGTTCAAAAACCCACAGGCATTGAATTTTATCCTTTCGGCGTTGGCAGTTTTGAAGATATTTAAGCGTTTCGGTACTTTTTACTAACCCGGTATAGCCTGCATAAAATTGAGAAAACAACTTCCTAATTCTCGGCTTTCTATGCGTGCATTTTTGCTGCATTAATATTTAGCAATTTCCGTCACACTCCATTTGAGATAATGCGACGTTCATCCGTTGAGAAAATCGTAGCGGATGGAAAGAGCATATAAAAGAACTACTCACGATAAGTACATATTAAAAATTGCCACGATTTATCAACCGCGCCAGCCGACGTTTACTTATGTCGGCTGTCGTTTAGTGGCTCACATTTTTGTGACCGGATGAAACATTCGTCGAAGATTTATATGTTAATACTAGGCCCCGCAATTTTCGTCCAATGGAAATTTCCTGAATATATAATTCCAAAGAAAAAGCGTTCGAGTTTCGACGCAAACGCTCACGATCGTTTAAACTGACTACATGGTGTTTTAAAAGATTGGCATAGCTCAAATTTTATTAAAGAAAAATTTGAATGTTACGTCTGTTGAAGCTCAAACATCTACAATCAATAAGCGATCCGACTATGATGCTATCAACTTTGGCCATTTTATAAAAAAACACCGATACTCTCTGCTATAAGTGATTTAAGTGTTCTGAATCGATTCCACTTAAATGACAAAAGTGATTACATAGTTTTTCTCGAGAAATACTAATATGAATTTAAAATTAAACAATACACAATTAAAACGCGTGAACGTGGTTCAAGATTTAGGGGTTATTCTTTAATTGTTGTTTGGGTCCCCTGTAGAGGCTATAATTGGGAAAGCGATGCGTAATTTAGGATCTATTCTAAAGCTCTCAGTACGAAACCAGTATGGTGGGAAGTGTTCTGTAATATTCGTCAACGGTTTGTAGTCCGATGTAGACAGAGACAGCCCTATAATAACAATTTGTACTACTATCGCTTGTGAGTATCGATCGTTTTGTGTGAATTATATTTTTTTTAGCGGAACAGACCAACTGTCAGTGTTCCGGCTGCCACAATTAATTATCTATCTAACTCTTCTCTTATGTCATTAACATATTCAATCCAATAATATTGTCCAAGATGTTAGTAGTGTAAATATCTTCATAAAACTTATAAGAAACATAATTTCTACATATTACAGACATTGTGTATTACTTCATGTATTCATTGGTTTGTTATTTGCCTTAAACGTTGCTTTTTTATTGCATCGCACTGTTAGAATTTTTTTCACACACCTCTAGCGAATTTTGTCTAATTCGTGTTGCTCTACAATTGTTTGTACAGATAAATAAATAAATAAATAAAAGATTCTTCAGTGAGCCACTAAATTTGGCTCCAGCTGAATAAATTATAAAGTTTTTTAACGGATCAGCTCAAGTCCGCTCATGTATACGCTATTTTGGATGGATTGAATCTGCTGGCTAAGATGCGGTAGTCTTTAAGGCGGTTATAAAATAACTGCGGGTTTTTCTCCAGGATTTTAGTAGCTTAGATCAGTGAGTGTGCGAACACTTTAAAACTACGAGTTCATCCACAGGTCTCGCACAACGGACCTGTGTTTAAGGGACCAGGACCGTACGTGTTCATACACGAGCAGATTTTTGTGCGGGTCTATATTGCGGCAGATCGGATCCTTGAGTGTCATTTTAAGACTTTAACTCGGATTTGGAAGCGATCGGAATTTCCCGTTTCATTTTAACAACTGACTGTACTTTATCGTTTGTCGCATTTCTCAATTAACGGGTATACGTGCTGTTTTTGCGAAAACGTCGTGAAAAATAGTCGTGGAAAAGTATGGTATGCTATTCTTCTTCAGTCAGTCATTTATTAAATGCGGCTTTGCACAGAGAAAAAGACTTAGTTCGTAAAAATAAAGCACACTGTCCTAATTAAATAATTTAATTTGTATCGAGCAATTAAATATCGAAGTCGGGGAATTATTTTTTTAATTCGTATCTCACCTAAAATATATTTGTTGCAAGAAAATTCTATTTGCCAGGATCATTATTACACTATTACAGGAAATATGTTTGTATTATTACAATTCTACTTTATTTGTTGCAAGAAAAAATATATACAAGGTCCAATTATTATTTATTGCCAGTAACAAAAGTGAAATATTGACTTTAAGCAATGTAAAATTAATTTACATTATAAGGTACTCGACGCATTTTGATCAGTCACCAGTGGTCTAAAACCTACAATATCCAGAGATATTAATAGCCAGGGCAAGAGCAATGTAGGTGTAACCTTAGTGAATGTGGGATCTTCTGCAATGGTGAAGGCTTGTAATGTTATGCCATATTTTCTTACATTCTCTCTTTTTGCACGTCTTCTATCTGAGCAGATGTCTAAAATAATCCATACTTAAAATTTATTTTTTTCAGTAGAAACAAAGAAGAACAATAGGTTCCCCAGACTCAGCAATATTAGGCTTCCACTGTTTAAGTTTGAACGATCTATTGCATATTAAATAATGTAATTCCTGTATATCTTCAAATAATACTTTATCTATTATTCACATTAACAATCAGCCTATAACAAGGCGACAATAGAAATAGCGATGTGCGCCTCGCAGGACGTGAGCTTCTGATCCCGTCGGAATGTACAAATAAAACCGGTTACTAGCATCAAAAATATTATGCTGCCGGGAATTAAAGATTTACTTGCAGCAAATCAACTTTAATTTGAGAAAATATGATAACAAACTATTAAATTAACATCCGCTTTGTTGCAAGCAATAATTTTTGTATTCCAGTTAATACTAAATGTATGTGATTGTTTAATTCGGGGAATAAATTATACAATATATATTTTGTTAATGTCGGTTTGTAGAAAATTTCAGCAAAACTTTAGTGGCGCAATAAGAATATAATTTACAAAATTGTGGATTATTAAATTAAATATTTAAGACAATTAAAGTAAAAATATAAGTAATTTTGTCTCAACAAAATCTTGTTTACTGTGAACGTAACTTTATTCTAATTTTTTCGTAACGCTTGTTACTAAAACAATTTAATTCAGCTTAGGGAAAAATTTCGTTTAAAAGTTTTTCAAAAAGCAGACTATATTTTTTTCTAATTTCAACCTGCAACTTAGAAGAAGCAAAATTCGAAATTTCTTATGAATATTCATGCGTTTATAAGATGAGAGACCAAAACCTTCTCCGGGACTACCGGAGTGGCCCCTACGGTCATTACAAGTCAATTTTAAAAATATTTAATGCCCTTTTCAATGCGGTCTGGAGTTTACGATCTCGAAAAATAAGTAACTATATTGGTATATTTTATATGTCAAATTTAAACTGTTTCGGTAGAGTATCGTTTTATCGATATCTTTACGATCGTCTTTTGTTCAAGAAATAGGCCAATAAAAAGGGAAGTATAGGAATTCTCCCCCGCAGGGCTGATAAAATTCCTTAAGACAACTTAAATTTTATTGGTAGCCCAATAAACGTCAATAGTTTCGCTCTGTATAAATAGAGGCTATCCAACTATTAACGCGAGAGTTCCGCAAATCGCTAGAGAAATCTACTTCATGTGACTTTTCAAATATAAACGAACAACGACAACGTGTAAATTTCCTACTGGTCGATTTATCAATAAGAAATGTTTAGACTTTATCTTCAAATCTATGTGAGACGTATTCAATTTAGAAACAGATAATGCTTTAAAAAAACAATATCAAATTAGCGATAAAGTGAAATTTGTTTAAAGAGAGGAAGATAGACCTTCCTCTAAATCAATGCAAAAGAGGCAGAAATGAACAAACAGAACTAAAATTACATCATGTTAATCGAACACATGCAAAAATTGAAACGTGGATATTACTTATCAAAAATTTATAACAAAAGCATAAAACTACTCAAAGCAAATTGATTATTGTTATTTGTCAGTTCTCAACGTCAAAAATGTATCCAAAAACTGATGAAGGTGGTATGCAGTTCCTCAGTCACTCGCTATGCTGGTTCATTGTTCGTTTATCAAAACTAAAAACAAATATTTTACCCTTTTAGGAGTTCAGCAAATAGACTGAATAATAAAGTCTTAATAATAATCTTGTCCGACGATTATAAATGTGCTTTGCTACTCCTTACTCTAAAGTATCCAATAAAGAATTAATCAGGCGTGTGCAAAGTGTCACTTTAAAACGTCGCCATGTCAGGTAATTTAATCACTGATTTTGAACGAGCGGATGTTTTTGGTAGCTATATCAAACACTAGTATTGTGATATTTGTATATGTGTTAGGAGCAGACACCGATTTCGGCCAATGGACGCAAAATATGATCAAAACGTGTTCGGAACTTTTTGCATTTACCAGAACTGACTCTCCCAAGTCAGCCCAGAAGCAGTCTGGCATGCGTCATTGCCAATCCGAGTCAGGCACATAAAAAATGTCCAATGGTAAATGCGAAAAAATATTTTTATTGTTTATGTAAATACGACGTGCGAACATTAAAAGTAACATTATTTTTAAAAGAAACGGAAAACATTAAAACGCGGAATAAAAAATAACAATTTTTATCTTGGGAATTTCTTACTTCGATCAATTAAACACAGTATTCGTCAGGATGGATATAATTAGAGTTGATATACATATAAAAAAAGAGAGAGAGAGAGAGAGAGAGAGAAGTTACAAAATTGGGATAAAATCAATAATTACAGTCGGCGATTACCACAGAATAAAATATACGGCACGGAAAGCTAAACAAACAAATGCTTGCAGGTCAAAATTCAAACGACAAATACTTTGTCCCTTCTAACGGTAAAAACACTTTCGAGCGAAATAATACAAACAGCCATATATCTCTACTAATGGGTAAGAAATATAGGCGATTCGGCATTTTTATTACTCACTTAATTAATTAATTAATCAATTAAAAATTATGTTAAATATATAGCTGACATAAATTTATAATATACCAAGCTGATAAAGTCCAGAGTCGTTAATACTGAGTACAACAGCTAACACATTTCTCGGGGCAAGTATACCTCTATCAGGTACTCGTACAATAACAGTTCTTCCTACATCTTGAGTTCGAAAGGACAACCATTTTCTCAGTTCGTAAACATCGGTTACATGTAATTTTCTGTTCACTCTCTCAATTTGCTTCATTAGATAGACTAGGTAGGTAACAAACTGAACATTTATCTAAGTATCTGAAATTTCTTTTTCGCATATTGTACACAAATTTTTCTCTTGTTGATCTTCATCATGTTTATCTTTACTTTCGTCTGAATTATTCTGACCGCACAACTTTGTAACTCTTGTTCTGTTTCGATGTTAGACAAAAGTTTTTCTGGAATTGACGAATGCATGAGACCGATCTTCTCAGGCACGCCGAACATAGCTTCATAAGGACTTTTAATTATTCCTGTATGCAGAGAACAATTTTTATTGCTTTGCACAAATCGCAGCCCTTCAGACCATTTCGTTGTGTGTTGATCAGCCAACCTTTCATCTTGATTTGATCTACCTACGAACCTTTGATTTTGCGAATGGCGAGGTTTTCCATGGACCAACTTCAAACCGGGCCACATTTCAGCAAGATTTTTGATTATACGGTTTGCAAATTCTCTGCCATTGTCGCTTTGTAGAATTATAGGTGCCCCTAACAAGTAGAAAATATCTCATAAATGACAGACAACTTCTTCAGCTGTCTTGGTTTTCATTTAATTTGTCAACATTGGCTTCACCACTAGACCTTTTCGTAGAACTTTCTTTTTTAATTGGCATTGATTGCAAAGTAATAAATAAATCTGAATTATTTGCCATTATGTTACAATATTTTCTCTTGAACTGAAAAACTGAAGAAAAAAAAACCTCTTATGTCTAACCCTCACATGAGCGGAATGAATAATGTCAAATAATTCGAGATTATGCAATTAGCTTTTCCGTTTCGCCAATTTTTAAATTTAAATTTTTAATTATCGTCTCTGTTTCGAAGATTTTGGGTCACCGTTGCTTTTACAAGCTTTTGCCGCCTTTACCTCTGCAAGTATTTGGTCGTATCTTTCTTTTGTATAAATATTGCCACGATGATTGCTATCACTTATGACTTTTTACAGTTCATCATTAAAACGTAACTTAATGTCTTCAATGCCACTTTCTAGCGACTTTCTAACCCGCAAATAGATCAAATACTAAATACTCTTACTCTAGCTTCGTATAGGTATCGTGTACAAGAGACACGCACGCGTTATGGCATCCGCAGTAGAACAGAACGCGTTCTGGCAATCGCAGTTGGGCCAAAACGCGTTCTGGACTTCATAAATAGCCCGAAAGCGGTATTTCGGACATTGACAAGAGGCTGGCTGCCAGAACGCGTTTTAACTATATTTTCCGTCTATTGGCCGAAATCGGTGTTTGCTCCTAACATATGCAACATGACTATAAGCTTTATTGCACACCAGTTTCATAATGTACAGGGTGTTTTCGAATTGAATGTCATTAAAAAGAAAACTTCATATGAGCATATGTCCTCCTTACTGTCTTACTTTTGAAATTCGAGGTGGTAAGGTTTTCAAAAATAAAACATATTTTTTTAATATCTGCAATACCTTTTTAGAAATTTTAATGAAATTTAGTACACACTATGTATCAAGAGCCATTATTTAGTTTACCACAATTTTTTTAAATGCACCAGTAGGCCACTAATTTCTTTTAAATTAAAAATTGTTTAAAAATATTTTTTTAGATTGGATTGAAAAACATCAAGAAATTAAATTTTTTTAGAAATTAATTTCATTAAAATTTCTAAGGTGCTATTACAGATATTCAAAAAATACATTTTATTTTTGAAAACTTTACTACCCTGTATCTCAAAAGTCAATACGTTTAGAGAATATATTCATATAAAGTTTTCTTTTTAATTATTGACATTGAATTAGAAAACACCCTGCGTTATTGCGAGCTGGTTTTTATTGGATTTAATACGTTTTATGTCATTGTTGCCTAAATCTTCTATTTATTTTTTATTAGGTATTTATTGGCTAATTAATTAAGTACACAAAAATAATTAAGCACCACGTTCTTACTATAGTGTACTATTATTATTATTATTATTATAGATAACTCATCACTCTAAACAAATATTGATAACCATGCTCGTCTGCTATTTTTCAAATTTAAAATTTCTTATCCATTGGAAACTGTTGTTTTTTCGTTTTCGTTTTTCTTTCTTGTTTAGATTTCACTTCTCGCGAATAACTATTTGGCCCTATATGAAGACTTGTTTAACAACAAAATTTAATGCTCACCCACGCCATCAAATTTTCCGTTGTGGGATCGTTTAAGTAAAACCGCAATATCGCGCGTGACTTGATAATGGCCCGTTTGGCCTTTCATCGTTTTGGTGACTTCATTACAGCGTGTCATAAAAACTTGGGTAATATAAAACACAAATCGCCAAATTCATATTACCCTAAAACAATATTTAATCGTATCATCAAGTTGACGATCAGCGAATAGTTATTGACAATAAGAGTTCTTATTTAGTTGATGACGTTTCTTATAAGGTTCATTCCATATAGCTACTAGATATATGAATGCCTTGCCTATACTAATAAATCATGGTTACTTGGTTAACATATTGGCCTATTCTTGTAATATGGTTTTTGAAGCGAACATAAGGAAGGAAATTTAATATACACATGCGCGAGTGAATTCAAATATCAGAAATCAACATATTTCGTCCATTCAACAGTTTTCAGTTTGAATGTGGCATTTTTTCGCCAACATTTTGTGGAAATATGCGGCAAACATTACCTTCTGTACAAAATTGCTAATAACTGTGTGTAACAAAAGCACGTTTGAAGCTAAGAAATATTTTAATTTTTCGGGTTGTTTAATAGATCACTTTTAGCCAATGATACACTTATTACATCTCTTTATTAACAACCCAATTCCTTTAAAAATATATTCTTTTGGTTTGTCTGCAAAATGAGCTAAAACAACCACTTTTAACATCGTCGTCAAACCGCCGTCCACGTCTTTTTTCAAATATCCAAACAAATAATAGTCGCTGGGGGCCATATCTGGACCGTAGGGAGGATGAACTATCTGTTGGAACCCACACTCTAAAATGGCAGCTTGTGCAACACCAGCAGTAGGGACAGGTGCATTATCGTGCAAAAGACGCACGCCTCTTCTCAGTTTTACTCAACGTTTTACACGTATGCAGTCTCGCAATTTATGTAATAATGTTGCGTAATACTTACCATTGACAGTGGTATTAGTTTCTTTAAAATATTTCAAAAGAATTCCTTCACAATCCCAAAAGATCGTGGCCATCACCGTTTTTGTTGACTGGCAGAATTTTCTTGGAGGTGCTTCACCCTTAGGACGCCACTCCATTGATTATTTTTTCGATAGAGGGTCATAATAGAGAACCACAGTTTCATCTCCTGTATAGTTTCTATTACAGGCTTCGGTTCTGACCCACGGAGTTCCAAAAAAGACCGCGCACACTCGAAATGGCGTTGTTTTTGAATAGCCGAAAGGTTTTTAGGAAGCCATCTTGCACGAACCTTATGCATACCTAAATGATCAAGCAGGATTCGACGAACACTTGTATCAGAAAGCTTAGTAATTTCTGAGATTTCCTTGACCTTTTAACGTTGATCACTCAATACAACCTCTTCCACAATCGCAACAATGTCTTCCGTTACGACCTCCACTGGTCGACTCCTGCCCCATTCGAAAATGTTTTGCCCATTCTTTCATTACAGAACACGAAGGAGAACTTTGGTCGTACACACCATCCATCCAGCCTTTGTTTAATAATTTTAGGTGCTAACCCTTCTTTTGTCAAAAACTTTATGACTGCTCTATACTCAATTCGCGTTATTTGCGACATTTTTTCGGACACGTCTTGTGTAAAATGCTGTCAATAAAAACTATTTGACGCAAGACTTCAATTTTTTTTTTCGCAGCCTACTAAGATATATATTTAAAAGAAGACAAAGTTTTTGTTGTGATGCTAGAACTGCATCTATGTCAGACCGGGAAATTTTGGCGCTAACCTTGTATCTGTCGCAATCCAAATCACTGTCAATTAATTGATAAATTGCCGACTATAATACGGATAATAAGGAAATAAGGAAACGAGTTTGTATTGAATACCAAGTACTGAGTCCTCAGTTCGTGTTCAGGTTCTGAGAACAATTTTAATTATGATTAAGATGTGAAGTATTTATTAAGACCTACTTACTTAAGATTTTAGGATTTATTATTATGAAGGCTATTTGCTCAATACCTAAAGGAATATGTCTTCATTTGCTAGTTATGGTGACTTCTGATTATGATTAGACGGGTCAAGGTAAAAAAACATCAGTTATCCACGTTGTTACTATCAATGCATTCCAATAACACAGAAACTATAAAACACAAGCGAAGCAAGGAGGAAATTTAAATCAAGATTACAATAAATCAGGTTAGGTTAGAACAAATCTAAAATAGTTCGATGTTCCAAATAGGTTCAATTGAAATAAACATACATTCACAGACTGGAAGTCGCAGTATTAAAAAATTCATCACAAACATATCATTATTTATTAGAAAATGTTAACGAAAACTTGTTTAAAATGCATTTTCTATAAGAATCATTACTATTTTTACGATTAACTGTCATATAGATTTAAATTAAAGATTAAAATGTTTGGCAGCATACGATTATCGAACCGTTTACATCAAGGAGTTCTGCCATTGTTCTTTCATCCTAGTCCAGCCATGAGTTTTTGCCATTCTGTAAAATGTTTGTCCATTTTCCATTATTCGATCGAGCACACAATTTCCGGAAGCAGAGAACCATTCGTTGACAAAACAATGTTTTCTTATCCAAGTTATGGCACCCCGGTGGAATTTCTACTAGCCTTCAAGCCCATTTAAAACAGGAGTCTCTAAAGGATGGTACAACCTATTAAGGATTTATAATCGTTGCTTGAAAGAATTTAATAACCCATTCCCCTAGATTTTTCGTCTTATCAAATCTTGCCTTCACCTAAATATTCTATGGACTGTCCATCTTTAATGGCATACGACATGATCCTCTTTAATGTACTGAAACGTGCAAATGACCAATATATACCAATATGTATTCAAAAAGGGGTTACAAAATTCAGTTTAAACAAATTCAGGTCATAAGCTAATCAAGCAAATGGTAACACACAGGTGGCCGTCAAGCAAAATGATTTCGAAATACAAAGCGAATTTTTTTCAATAAACGTAATGAATGGGTGTAATCATGACACATGATCCAAACACGATTGGAAAATTCAATTATTTATTTTTGTTCATATTTTATGGACAGCAGTTACCAAAAAAAAAACAAATATAAAAATTAACACACGGATGCACGTTACGCAGGTTTACCAAGAGAAAAGGAATAATCGTTTAGCCAAATTCAAATTTTGACCCAATTTGAAACCAACTTGCGATAGAAAATTTGGCGCAAACATCGTCATCTAATTTTGGTATAGCACAAAGGGCAAATATTTTAACAACCGCTGAGGTAGTTTAAAACTGCATAAAGCGCTTTAAGTTTTAAGTTTCTAAGGTCGTTACCATGAAAATTCTAGTGCCAAACGTGTGAGCGGAATACTACCGCATCCTAACGACGTTACACTCTTATTGTTATTCTGCAGGAAACTACGTGTTAACCCAGCTTTTAGTTTTGGTACATAAACACCATCATCACTATTTTATAGTTTATTGAACGGACGCGCCATGGGAAATACAAAAACTTTCGAGAAACTTTTATTTTACGAAAATCTCCAGATAAAATGACAACCGCAATTAATGCAAACGTTATCCCCAACCTAAACAAACACCGACCGTGAATTTATAAGCAAACTCCACAGGTTGGGCTGCAAATCTTAATTCTAATTAAATTTAGTAAAATTTGAAGTCTTTTCTCCCCTTACCAATTTATTTAAATTAGAATAAAATTGCGGCATCAGACAAAATAAATTACAAAATAAACACTTTAGTAGTCGAAAGGTGAACTATGGTTTTATATTTGCTCTAACTATGTATATTAAATTATTTTAAAAATTAATCAGAAAACCAACGACTGATGATATCATATGATAAAACTTCAAGAGAAATTAAAAATGTGGGTATAATTTATTAATCAGGCTACCTAGGTTTTGAAATATAAGAGAAAATGATTAGCTACAAGAAAAATAGAAAACAAATGTCAAAAAAATCTTTTATAGATGGCCCAAAAAATTTGCTAAGAAATATATTTTATTTTGGTATTGTACACTTCAAATTATTCTGAAACAAATGTATTTTGTTTTGTTTACGTTAAAAATTCTACTAACTAAAGTAACCAAAATTAATCCTAATCACAGAAATAATTAGAATTAAGAGTGGCCAATAATTATGTTAATTATATTTATAGAAATAAATTTATAAATAAAAAATTGGAGCGATTTTTTTATTTTTAATTAATCACAAGTAGAAATTGAAGTTTCAATAATGACGGCGATTATCCAGTTCTCCATTTCTTCTGTGTTATTTATTTATATGCTTACTCTTATTTTTAACTATGTACCTTCCAAATTTATATCAGGATACATTTTCAAAAATTTTTGCATCCTTAAACTTTTCCCATCTTTCCCAAGAAGAGACCTTCAAAACGAGCAACCTCTTGTCATATAAAATCAAACACAAAAAATGTTTCCATATGTTCCATTTTTACACTCGCTGCGATAGGAAATTCGGATCTCGCGAAAATTGAAATTTTGTCATTTTCTTTTTCGTATTTTACGGAAAAGAGCAATTTGTCGAACGAAAAAAAGGAAAACAATTTCGGAGCAATATAGTCGCGTAATAGTTCACGAAATACTTATCGCTAAATCTATGCCCAAAAACCTAAGAAAAAAAAAATTAACGATGCCTTTTAAATTACTTTCATTAACAAAGTAAACTATTAACCCGTTAGTTTTGCCAGCGTAATTTCTAGATGATAAAGCGGTCGAAACATTGTTCTCCCTTGCAACGCCACTGGGGTCGTATCTATTTCGATATTCCCTAAAACCACCTAGGGTAAATCCGCACTCTCCAGTCGTTGTTCCTTAATTACACGGACAGAATTAAGATTTATGGAGATTGCATTTTCCTTAAAACTACAGCGTTAGCTCATAACTACGGAATATGTGTTGGCGTACGGTAATATTGAATTTTAACGCTAAGCCTCTACGACACCCTTACATTTTTGTATCATTTCCACCAACAAAATTGTTCACAAAAAATGTTGTGGTCGCAGAGAAAATTATTCGTCTTCACTTTCATGGCAATTATTTAATCTCTTAAATTAAACATTCAATTTCATCCAAAAGCAA